ATTTACTGGGGCATGTACTCAACTATGGAATACATGTTTTAACTTAAAACAATTGTCGCACATTTTTTTGGACATATATCCTACACTTCACATCCCCTTCTTGAAAGTAGTTGGACATAGATCACGTTTCGAATTATGATTTTGAAGGGTCTTTTGGATGTCTAGCTGAAAATCTAGTGATTTTCCAATTTATAACCCACCGAACAAAAGAAACATAAAATGTTATAGGAAATTTAATTCTCATTCTAGTTCTCATACAAAATATTAATTCCAATATATAATATACATGTATATAAATATTTATATAGCAGTATCCCCATATCCTAGCTTTTACAAATTTGATGTGTCCTATACCGGTATCCGTACCCGTACTCATGCAACATAGAACTCCACATTGTTGCATAGTGTGTGGTAATTGGGCATAACATAACATGAATACATTGATTCTAGGTCGTCTTTATTTTTTGTGTCTCCCGTGAATGGTTTGGAATCTGAGAAATTGGTTAAGTGTGTCTGGTATCAGTTCTTGGTTTTGATTAAGTTTTACTCCTGTAAATTCCTAAATACGGTACACATACTTGTGAACATTAGCTTGCTCACCATTTCAGTTCTATTAGCAGGAGCAAAGTTGTGATTGATCTGAAGAAGAAAATTGGCTAGGCTAACAACGGGACCATGGAATTAAAACCCTTGACGTCATCCTATACAATAGGATTCTTCTTTTTCAATCTTGAAGAACATATGCATGGGAAAGTGCTAGAGAACAATGTTGGAATTTCATGAAAGCTTGACCCAGGTATCACTTAGTTTGAGGATCACCCTAATCTCTATGACGTAACAATGTTGCTAACAATTGTTCATGAAGGAAATCAGTGATTATGTAATAGAATACTAACATACATTGAATGGAAGAATTTTGTTGGCATTTAACATCTTAATTTTGTAACTTCCTTATAGAGGATTTGCATTATTGCACAATTTCTTGCATGGTACAGGAAGTTGCAGTATCATATTCATCCAATACATGAAAGAAAAGAACATGTCATTTCCTTCGAAGACTTACATCGAGAACAACAGGCGGAAAAACATGGGATATATCCAAAATTGATCTTGCAACATCTAGGAATTAAAATAATTCAGTATGCTTTCATCCTCTATACTCATAAGATGAAAGACCAAACAACATTTTAGGATATAACTCTTGAGACCTAGGTTCAGTAATCAAGCACGCAGATAGCCATGTAGTATGAGTGGAAAAGGTATATATTAGTAGTCAATCACAATTCACTACCCTCTCGACTCCCAAACCAGTAACAATGAGATCCTTGTGCATGCCCTTCTTCATAAAGAATACTATTTTATCCTCCTAACACAGTAAATGAGGAGATAATTTCTCAGCTGGAGCTTTTAGAATTTAAATTAGTAATGATAAGGAGAAATAAGATCCTCATAAGGATGCTAAGCCAAAAACAAATGAAATAAAAAAGGCAGTTCATGAAGACAGTAGGAGCAAAAAGAGCTATGAGATATGAAGACTCTGCGCATAACTCTGAATACCTTGTTTCTAAATAAAATAGATGCTTAACACATGCTTTGATTGCAACAATAATCTGCTTTCAAATTTGTGCAACATCAAAGCTTGAAGCATATGTGACTCTTTTGAAACTTTCATTTTTTTTTGACTGGCAAAATAATTATCCAAGATCAAGTAAACCAGCTGGTTCATTATCTAGTCTTCTTATTTTGTTCTTGTCAATCTTGCCCGCTAGCTTATAATTAACTTACACCTTGTTTGGTATATGTGGGATTCTTGTCAAGTAGGAATGGAATGAAATAAGGAAAGAAATGGAATAAGTATGAGACTAGAATGCTCATTCTCATTCTCACGTTTGGGTGTAATTAGAGAATGAAGTGGGAATGACAATATTTTTTATTTTTGGTATGGATGTTTAATAAGCAATCAAGTCACTTTGGAATTTATTTCAAAATTTTCATTCCCACTTGAGTGCGAATGCACATTTCCTACCACCTCATTGGGAATGCTCATTCGCAAACAAAATTGGAATCAATGAATGTAATAATTCTAAGTTTTCTGTAGATAGATATATATAAGGAAAAGTGTAGGGGTTTTTATGTAAATTTTATTAGAGGGTTTTATTAGCAAAAAATGCCTTTATAAATACCCCAAAACCCTACCCAACTCCTTAATTCCGTAAGCCGCTTCTCCTCTTTCCCGTCTCTGTTCCGCCTCTCTCTCAAAAAAAAAGGGAGAACCAGACAACAACTTCGGAGGGCAGTGGGGCATACCTGGGAGGAAACAAATCAAGGTTCACTTTTATCTAATCCTCATCTTAGCATCACTAATTAATATTGCCAACATGTTTACACGATGCTTAAGCGGAGCAATCTTAATTGATCTTTTTGTCTCTTTGTGTAGATCAGTCATGATCCAACCTGAGACCTAGATATTCGACCTCACTTCCTCAACTTCAACTTTTAGATTTATTATAGATGATGCTGACAATGATACTCCTCTTTAACCAGTATTATGAAATAAATATTAATCATGCATTTAATTTCCTTGGCTGAAGGCATTCTGATGTGTAATTATTTAGATAGAAGAAAAAATAAATAAATAAAGGTATAGTTATAAGTTGGTAGGCTATGAGTCGAGGGCATATAATAGTATTGATTATTGTTTATAATTATTCTTTAGGGGTTTCGAGTGGCACCGAGGAGGCATCGTGAGTGGTATTTTGGTTGTCTTTCGGGTTTGGGGTAAGTGGTGAATTTATACATTATTCGCTGCGTATTTTTCATATAAATTTATATTAATTATATGCGAATTTATTTCTGATGGATTATATCATTTTGTGTGATTTACTCACATGTTAAATGTTGATTCCGAGGTGACGCACATGGATATTTGGTATAAGTCTATGCTTATTTTCTTTGTCAATTGTTATGTCTTTTCATATAGTAGTAGGTTGAGATGCATATGTGGTTGATTGATTTCACTATTGGTTAGCATTTGGTATTTTTGTATAACGTATTTAGTTTTATGAACCTTGTTTAAATTTTTTAAAGCATGTGCATCTCAGGTCAATAAACCGGTATATGTCGGATATAAGCAAGTTATTAAAACAAGGCTCAATGTGCCTATATGAGGTTTTATTTTAGCGCTAAGAGCCTAAATTTGGGTCTCACTGTCCCGGAACCACGGGCTTAATAATTATGGGGTTTACCAAGTCAACCGGAGTATGAAGTGTTGACCGCATTGAGACGTAGTTTGCTTATTTCCATTTCATGATTTCTAAATTTTCTTAAATATTTACATCAAGTACTAGAGTTCATTGATGATTCTCTATCATTCTTATATTTTTGTTTATCTCTTATTGAAATATTTTAGTTTTGCAAAATCAGTGTATAATGTATGAATTTATCCACTTATTGAGTTGTGAACTCATTGTGTTGTTTTATTTTCTTTTCAGAGACACGGGATTAGGTGGAACTGAGGATTTGTTAAATTCATAGAACGGAACAAGGAATAAAATTTCAGGATTGTTATTATCTTTTAGGTGGAGGTTAAATAAAGTCTTGATGTTTAGTTGATGAATTGAGAGTCGTGTAATTACGAGATTTCTTTCCTTTAGGTTGAGTTTTATTTCAACTTGAGGAATATTTGTTCATATCAAGTTAATTGGATTAATGTTGATTTTTGGGATTATAGAGAATATTTATTGTTGGTTTTAGTTCAATGAAGAGGTTATTTTGATGGTCTTTTAATGAATGCATATTTTGGAGGATTCATCACAGGTTTAGTCCGGCTCCAATATTTTTTTTAGGTTTGAAATTTGGGGTCGTGACAATGAGAAGTGGGAATGAGCATTCTAGCTTCTAAAGAGGTGTTGTGTTTGGTATGAATGAATGAGAAGTGGAAATGATCATTCCAGTCCCACCTATTCCCACATACCAAACAAGGCATAGTGCTTTCATTCAACAATTTAAATTCAGAGAAAAATGAAGGTGCTATGATTTTCCACCTAACCATTGCAAATTCTTTCATCAAATGAGCATGCATTAGTTCCAACATTAAGCCTTGAGCATCATATCCTACAAAAAGATCAACAAGCCAAGAAAATTGTTCATCTCATCTATAAAAAATGTGATGGCAATTATCAATCGTCTCTCATATAATCCTCGTTCATCGCTTCTAATCACAAACTCCATCTTCTATATTTAGTCCAATCCTCATAAGGGTTGTATCACCCTCATCTAACAAGCATCTACCACAAATCTAATTTGTGCCTCGTAACAAATTGTTTTGCCGTCATTATCACCTAATCATTTTCCCATCAATCCAGATGGGCTATAGAGAGGCCGAATAAAATATTCGACGAAGTTCCACACTCGTCTATGTACCTTATGCTAAAAATTTCCAGGTCCAATCTACAGTCCACGGCTGTAAATCTAACCCAAAAACTAGTTCTGTGAAGACATCAAGCTATATCATGTTAAATAGGTCTTTGAAGTTCAAGCTGAGCTGATGGATAACATCTTTGGAACTATCAAAAAGATCAAAAATGCGCACAGAATTGAAGATTTGACACACAAAATAGCAAGCAATTAGATCGAGAAGGATCAAAATTAACCACCTAATATGTTAAAATTGGTATAAAGGGAAACTATTGGGGAAAAGAGGCCTTTTACTATGCCTTGGCCTCGGGACAAGTTGCGTCATGTTAAAAATTTCATCACAAGGGCTTTATTATCCTCATCTAATCAAAGAATTGACAAAGTTCTACACTCATTTACTGAGCTTAACCTAACCACTTCAAGTCAATCTACACTTCAAGCATTAATTAACCAGCGAAAGCTCAAAATTTGAATCAGTAAGGATCAATTAACCATCTATTTTTATGGATAATGGACAACAAAATCCAATTTGAAATTGACAAAGTAGAAAGAGGAATTATAAAGCGGGGGAAAAAAGAGACGACCTTTTCGTCCTGGTGAAGGGCGATCCAGACATGGACCTTGTCCATTGACTCCCAGAAGAGGAAAGCTCCGAAGGTCATCGCGAAGTAGGTCGCCACTCGAACCATCCTTCCCTCCTTCTATTTTCTCTTCTTTTTCTTCTCTTTTTCCTCGCTACTCTTCGATCCTTTCGCGGCGCTCGCAGCAATCAAAGATCTGTTTGTTTCTCGGATTTTGGGCCTCAACTTTTTCTATAAGAACTGGGCCTTTCGAAGGTCATCATATATTCGGCTTGTTATGTAAAGGCTCTAATCTATATACTATATCTAAAATCTCTTCCATTTAAAAATGCCACACGGCATCTCTTCCCTGCCTGAAACGATGTGAAAGCCCTCTATAAAGTCTCTTTTCCCTTAAAACGCACAGAACATCCGATCTTCCACTTGGAGAAACGCCGCATGCATGAGCAAGGCCTCTTTCGATATCTGAAATCTCGTACCATGGAAAACGCCACTTGGCATTTTTTTCATTATTTAATCTATTACTATCTATTACTATCTAACTAATAATGATGATACGTTCACAAGAAATAATCTCTTCGTTCAAGAAATAATCTCTTCCCCTTGGAATGCGAGATTTCTACGATACCTTCCTATTCATTTGGATTAGTTGATTTTGGGGATATAATTGCTAATCGTATCACCTCAACTACCGTAATAGGTAAGATACAAATGTATCTTACTTTAAAATAAATTTACAGTTTTTCTTATTGTCTTTTTTTTCAGTTCAATACTATTTTTTAATATATTTGACACTTGGGGGCTTTTTTTTCATTTTTTATGTTATATGACATTTTTCAGATATCATTGGAGAGCTTATTACTATTGAAAATGTAAAAGAAGTTAAGAGCAATGGAAGTAAAAGAAAATTACTAGAGTTTGAACTCCAAGATAGCAAGTGAGTTCAAATATGTACAATATAGTTACGTATTTTTTAATAGTAAAAGTATGTGTGTGCACGTGAGTGTGTGTATATGCATTCCGTACTAAATTTTTTCTTCATGCAGCAACATTAAATTGCAATGCAGTTTGTGGGGTGATTACGCTGTTCAAGTTTCGCAATATATACAGAAAGCTAATTCAGGAATTATTATAATAGTGATTCAGCTTGCGAAGACAAAACCATATGGAGGTAAATCAAATTAGATGTATACTAATTTATCAAAAAAAAATATTTTTTTTGTAGATTATGTTTATATATTGACAGACTCATGAATTTAAAAACTTTATTTCTTAGGTAAAATTACTATTACAAATGCCTTATATGCGTCGATATTAATCAATCCCGACATACCTGAAGTTGTTGATCTAAAAAAAAGGTACATGATGAATTATCTCATTCGTTAGTTATTTACAAGTAATTTGATATTATTTCTAATTAATTTAATTTTACTATCATAAGTTCGAAACTTGTGCAAGATTCTTCGTCTTAACGATTTAGTCAGATTCCAACTGAAAAAGCTTATTCCATCGAGGGTGATTTTTTGTTATTAACTGAACGGAAGACACTTGATGAAATTCGAGAGGCACGAGAGGTAATTATTTTGAAGAAGTGACTTTATTGATATTGCACTACTTATTTAAAATGTGGGATTAGTGGCAAACTAGATAACTAATCTGAAGACAATTGATAATTTTCTTCCAAATTATTCATAACTTTATTTTCTTACTATTTGATAATACTCAGGTTTGCACATGTGTGACATTAGCAACTATACAGAAAATTCAAACAGATTATAATTGGTTTTATAATGCCTGCAAAAAATATCAAAGGAAGATAAATGCTGAAAATGGTAAATTTTGGTGTGAGAAATACAATGAAAATGCAAGATTTGTTATCCCAAGGTACGTCAGAAAGAATGTATGCCAGTTTCTTCACAAGTTATATTTCATCATATGCTTCATGAATGGATGTATGAATCTTCAACGTACACTTTATATCACAATTCTTATTGGTTTATTTTAATTTTTGAGTTTCATCAGGTACAGGGTTCAGGTTTTAGTCATTGACCATACATGTACTGCATCATTTATTCTATTTGATCATGAAGCTAAACAATTTATTCACAAATCTGCAGTCGAATTGAGGGAACGACTGACAAAAGTAATCACTCTGATTCCTTTCTGTAAAAATTAAAAGTTTTAATTCAATAGCTTTACTTTGCTTCTTTATGTTGTTCATAGGAAGATGATGATGATTCATTTCCTCAAGAGTTAGATGTGTTGGTGAAAAGGAAACTTTTGTTCAAGATTCAAGTTTCAGAATTCAATCTCAATCAAAATTGGCCTGTATTTTCTGTCTCTAAAATGACTAATGATGAAAATCTGATAGTAGCTTTCAGAGACAACTTAGATTTGAACCAGGTACATTACATTACATATTTTCTTCTTTTATAGAGCTACATATCTATTCATTTCATGTATCAATCTGCATATAGATATGAGGTTGAGCAATATATTAGTAATATTTTTCCTTCTAAATCATTAGGAGTCGACAGGTCAAGAATATTTCACTAATGAAGCTGAATCTACCAAAAAGAAAGATGGTCTTGATAATGTAAGTCAATACACTTATTATTATTTTTCTTTTTCATTCCTCATGTTTGTATTTATTTTTTATTTTATTATTTTATTTTTTTGAAAGGAAAGGAAATTATAGATGTCATACCAAAAGCATTATATGTACAACCTCCATCCAATTATAACTATGATCAAAACTAATACTTATAGTAACACCTCAACACCTCTCTCCATAATCAAGGGGACAACCTGACAAGGTAAAACTCTCAAATTCTCTTTTGCTGTTATATTTCACAATACCTAACTAAATATTGATGTTGCTGCTTCTTTCACCTTTATCACTTTGTATTTCGTTTTATTATTGTTCTCTTGATTCTTCACATTAGCAGTGCAAAAATCTTTTGTTTATATCTTATTAGTATGCTAACTAAATAGATAAAATAAATATGCCTTTACTTTCCCAGAATGTGTAGAATATGTTTTTTGCAGTTTGATTTTTTAAAAGGATGCACTATATATTGTCAGATTCTTATCTAACATATGAGTAGAATGACTTTTAATAATACAAGTTTTTTTACCATTTGAGTTTTAGAAGTTTTCAAAACAAATGAAAGCTTGAAGTTTAGTTAACATTATTTCTGGCTTGTGTTCTATTTGTCAATGACCCATTATCAATCCCGTGAAGCTTCTATTTAACTTTTGACACTTTGCATAAAAAACTTCCACCACCTTCTCCTTGATGTACTAATTAAAAAAATTTAAATACTTAATTGAACCATGCATTTACTTGATCATAAAAAACTTAACCATAGATTAATTGAGAGAAGTAACAAACTTAATTACTAGAATTCACCGAGAAGATTACTGATTATAGGTTGTCATAGTAATCCTTCTTAATGTAATAGCAAATTCTTTAATATCTTTTTGAGTAGTATCTTTTGTTGCTACAACTTTCACCATTATCACTTTGGATTGCCTATTTCTTTTCGCTTTAATATTGATTTATTGATTCTTCACATTAATTGTACAACAATCTTTTCCCGCCAACTCATTAACATGCTAACTATTATGTTATACTGAAACACAGGGCTCGCTATCGGTCACTGGAGACAATGAAGTTAAAATTTGTTCCTCGGATAACATTACTCCTTGCAAGAGAAATTTGTTGGAATCTGATGTCGAGCACTAAGTTTCAGTAGACTTGATTTCTCCGTAAATGTAAAACCCTGTACATTTTGATAATTGTTATATGTGGTTATTAGTGAAAAATAATATTTATTTAAGATAAACGTTTTTATGTCATGGTTGTGCATGATAACTAATGTTTTGAGTTTATGTGAATGTATATATACATCAGGTTTGAGGTTGAGTTTTGCAAATTTACAAATCATGCACAGGTAGAAGTATAGCCTGTTCGGTCGACCGCGAGTCGACTGATGGGTTCGGTCGACCCTGAGTCGACTGATGGCTGATTTCCAGGTTTTTTTGTAGTTCGGGTCTGTTTGGATTTTTGGGTCGGGTTTTAACTGTTGGTATTTATCTCTTTTACCCGAGAAAGACCCCTTTCATCAGTCCTCCCCAGAAACCCTAGCCCCCTTTCCCCTCTAAAACCCTAGCTTCGGATTTTAGGCGTTTTTGGGAGATTTTCGGGGATTTTCAGCAGCTCATTGTGGTTTGCAGCGAATGGAGTCATTCTCTCGCGGATCCAGGCATTGTTCAACACACCAGAGGCGAGTAGCATCTTACCCAATCCCTCTCCCTTGTTTTTAAGAGTTTCTAAACGTTTTTCATAAGATTTATTGAGCCTAAGAATTATTTTCAAGTATAAATCGATGTTCTTATTAGTGTAGATGCTAAAAATCATGTGTTTCAGATCTCTAAATCCTCACCAATGAATCTTTGATGAAACCCAGATCTGGGAATTTATTTTAAAAACGAGTTTCTATATTGATTAATTGCTCTCATACATGTTTAGGGATTAAATGTTAGATCTAACATGCAAGATTTCGTTTTCCATGTTTTATACGAATTTTTCACTGTCTCATATGTTTAGAATTGATAATATATTGTTTGGGTTTGATGAATTTGATTTTTAGATGAATTTTTGCAAAAATAACACAGCATGCACGAACAGGGAAAACCCCTTTGTTCAGTTGACTGTGAGTCGACTGATGACCCCACTCGACTGTGAGTCGACTGATGACCCCAGTCGACCGTGAGTCGACTGTCGGGTTCTAGTTTTTCTTCTTTCGGTCGACCATGAGTCGACTGGTGATCCCAGTCGACCATGAGTCGACTGATGACCCCAGTCGACCATGAGTCGACTGATGAGTGACTCATTTCCTTTTTTTTTTGTTTAACTACCTTGTAGGTGTCAAAAAATACTCATAGATATCCAAACACAACTCAAGGCTGAGAAGAGAACAATGTGCATGCAACAACAAAATACACCGATAAACAACCCATGGTGACGCGCCTTAGGCGCGACAGCCTATGGTGGCGCGCCTAGCGTGCCAGTGTCCATGGTGGCGCGCCTATGGCGTGCCAGTCCATAGTGGCGCGCCTATGGCGCGTCAGTCCATGGTGATGCGCAAACTACAGGGAGGGTGCCGCGGCGGTTACAAAGCAGTTATACGATGATTTTCAAGGTCCACGTGGCGGCATATCAGAAAAAGAACGTGTGCTGACATGGACAAGCAGTTAAACCACGAAAAAAGTGGTTAAAAGAAGTGAGAAGACAGTTTCAAACAAACTGGAACGTGGCTGTAACCGCTTCTTTGGCCGCGTCGGTCCACACTGGCGCGCCAATAGCCGCGACAGTGTAGACTGGCGCGCCCAAAGAGCAGTCACTTGGTCAGTTATTTCGTCCTCGTTTCCACTGCTGTGCGCTCCTATCCCTATAAATACCTCCCTAGACACGAAATCAAGGAAGGAGGGCAGATTAGAGCAGAGAGACTTAAGCTTTTGGTGAATTGGAGCAAGAGAGAGAGAGTCTTCATTCTTCACAAACATCCTCAAGAAGCTTTTGGAGATTCCTAGAGATCTAAGCTCTGACTTGATCTTTAGAAGAGTGAACATCTTACATCGATAAGATATTCGCTTTAAATTCTTACTTCGATAAACGAAGGAAGAATTCCCAAAACCTTCACGATTCAATCAGAATCTGTGAATCGGTGGTCCACGGGCTAACGCACCCCCGGTACAGGCAAAGATCTCGCGCAAGCAGCGATCCAAATAACGATCATGCGTTTGTTTCTAAGGAGCTTGTAATTTGATTTTTTGTTGTAAAGAGTGGTTTTACAAAGTACGAAGCTTACTCTTTTGTATTCGTTGTAATCGATAAACAGTTATAATGAATTCTACAACAGAACTTGTTCCTAACGTAAACAAACTGGCGACCACAGTGGGAGCCAACGGTCTCGCTGTCGAGACCGTCGTGTCGCACCCGATCAAGATTCTAGTTGAATCCACGGTCGAATACGAGTTCGACCAAACCAAGTTTGAGGAATATCTCTCATCATCCTATTCAAGATCTTCATTGTCTCGCAAGTACAAGAGGATCTCATAATTGAAGAAGGCTTACATGCCAAAGAAGGCCTAAGGTGAAGACTCTCACCCAATCGTTGCCGAGGCCTCCCCTCGCAACATTATCCCGACGACCCCCAAAGCTAGAAGCTCTGCTCACAATGATTCCTCCCTAATTAAGGAATCATTCGATCGAAGTTCGCCAACACTGATGAAGGGGGCTCCTCAGAGGCAACGCCAACGTCTCGCTCGTCAATTGGCTAAGGCCTTGGAACAAACCGATGGAGTTCGTTACTATGCGGACTTAGAATTGAGGAAACATCAAGTGGTTCAGTCACCTCAACGTCAAACCACTCATATCTCTGCACAACTCACGATGGAGGAATGAACTCTCGTCAAAAGGGCTCGTTCAACTCTCAAAGAACGCATACAAAAGCGTTGTGCAAACACTGCTCATGCCCTTGCTCTTTTACAACAAAGGCGAGAAGAGAAGAAGGAGATGGTGTCCAAAAAATCACCAAGAACCAGCCAAGTGTGGGTCTCCAAATCCCAACTCGTACAAAAATTGGATCAGCAAGATCCAACCTTCAACCGCGGCAGCGTCCACTGCCGCGGCACAACCTTCAACCGCGGCAGCATCCACTGTCGCGGCACAACCATCTTCCAACTACGGCAGTCTCCGCTGCCGCGGCACACCCTTCAACCGCGACGATCTCCCTTGTCGCGGCCAAAAGAAAACTTCCAATGCCTCTCTTTTGACTCCGTCAACATCCATTCCTGGTTCGTCTACTGCAATCACTTCTGATATGTTACTAGTGAAGTCATGGGTCAGTCCTGACTTGTTAAAATTTAAGATCACAATGGTGGATCGCCTCGGTCCTTTACCTGATGATCGAGGTAGAATTCCAGTCAAAGAATGTTTGGGTCCGGTGAATGAACCCCAAATAGATTCTTACACTGGGGGTCGTAAGTATCCTCCTATCAAGTCAAAACAACTCCAGGATGGGAAAACCCCTATTTCTACTCATTTGGGAGTTCGTAACGAGACTCAGGAGCCTGTTAAGACTATGCACCCGCAAGGGCATGGTTCTAAACATGCGACTCCTGACGTGACCTTGGATCGCTCAAATGCGACAACAAGTTGTCCTGAGAACGCCAACAAGGCTTTACATCCTCAGAAGAAGACATGTTTGTTAAAAGACATCGTTATACCTGGGGGGTTATACCAACAGATGATTGGATTCTCCGATGAGTTGTACTATCAAGCTGGGGGTGTGAACAAAACTCGAAAAAGAATTGTCCGAGAAATGAGCTCTCATTGTTCCTGTGCGCGACTCATTAGAACAGTACTGTCGGAATGTGACTACTCCAAACGAGAATCCATCCCGCAAAGAGTCTCAGTGTTCTAGAAGCTTTTCACCAAAATATCGAAGCCTAAGCCGAGGCATTTCCACAATAAAAGATCAGATATCCAAGATGACGAATTCCCTGAAGTCACCATCAACATGGCTGATAAAGGAAAATCTAAGCGGCATTCAAGTGAATCAAATCCCGACTTTTCCTCGTAAGGAAAAGTCAATTCAAGAATTGCGCAACGGATGTCTCGACTCCAGTTAAGAGCCATCAGACGTAGGGATTACAAGAAAATGCATGAAGGAATGTCCTCAGAGGATGATCTTTCGGACACTTGTTTTGCGATTGCTTCGGATGATACAATATCTAGCACAGGACAAGCCAGAGAAGTGTTCACAATCACTCTTGATCAATTTGCTCAAATGCTTCAAGAAGCTCTAGCCAAGCAACGTGAAAAAATTAGAGCTGAAATGAAGATGGAGATGGAGTTGGCTATCCAACAAATGAGAGAATTACAAGCTCAACGAAGAAGACGGGTATTCCGTGTCCCTATCCAAGAGAATGTGATTCAATACCGTACCCGGCAAAGTTCAATTTGATTAACTTCACACCGTTTGATGGGAAGAGCTCGCCTATTCAACACTTGATTTATTTCAAGTCTTATTTGGGCATGATCTCTAGAAACGAGGCTTTAGTGGTCCGGTCATTCGTTGGTACCCTTCGTGGACCTGCCTTCGATTGGTACCGACGTCTTAAGCCAGGGAGCATCAATTGCTGGGATGACATGAAAAGTTTATTCCTCAGCAATTTCTTCGATGATGACACCGAAGTGTCAATCGGAACCCTTCTGGATGAGAAGTAAAAAGACGGAGAGTCAGTCGACAATTTTGTCAAGCGCTTCCGTAATAAGGCAATGAATTGCAGGGATCCTGTTACAGAGGAGTTCATCCTACAAACATGCCATAATAATCTCTCTATCGATGTCCTGGAAACCCTGGGGGTCGTACCATCCAAAACTTAGAAAGATTTAAAAATGCGTGGTGAACAAGCTGAACACTTTCTTAAAAGAAAGAAAACTGAGAGAAGCCAACCGACGACATCTGCAATCGCTGTGAATGCGACTCTCGATCCGAAGTTCTAAAAGGAGTATTCTTTCAAAGATGATGAAGCTCCAGCCATCTTGAAATACCTCCTTGCCAATGACAAGATCGAGCTACCACCTATTAAAGATCAGGAGGGAGCTAAGAGGGTTATGGATCCAAACTATTGTGCATACCACAGAAGGATTCTTCATCCCACCAAGATTTTCTT